CTTAATAGGTTGTGAGTTCAAAGCTCTATTTTCATTCTATTCGAATTTTGACATTTTTTTAATAAAACGCACAGCAAAATTTGCAAAAACTGAGCACTTTGGGATCGAACACAGGATCTCAGGTGCTGCAGCTTAGCAGCCTGTACTACTGAGAGATTTTTGTTCATTTAGTCATTATACAGTTATATGTTCTGCGTACGGGCCTGCGCAAGGGGAAGTAGGGAGGTGTGCTGTCAGATTGGGCTGGGCCAGAGCAACTACCAGGCTGCTGGTGATCGAGTGGGGCGAGGAAAAGGGAAAGGCCGGTTGGGCCAGGCCAAAAGAAAGAGAGGGAGGAGATTTCTGGGCAAGAAGGAAAAGGTGATAAAAAGAGTCTTATTTTTTATTTCAAAGCCAATGCCAACTCAAATTAAAACATAGTTTTGATTTTTAAACTCAAGACAAGCACCACAAAAACATGTTAACAAATCTTATATTCTCCAGAGCAATGCATCACATGCATGTTGGCCGCTTTTTTAAAAAAAACATAAAAGGCCCATGTTCGAGTGCATCATATGAATGTTTATCTTGTGGTTTCCTTGATTTTTTATTTTTGGATCTTTTAACTCTACCTTAGCAAAATTATATCTTATTCATATGACAGTGAGATGAAGATGATTTTTTTGTTTTATTTTTCAAAAATAGCATTACATATAGAGCCCATTAAAATTTAAATGACAATGGGACCAAATATCTAATTTATATGTAAATAATTTTTTTGGCAAACTAATATTGTAATAATTTATGACAACTGCAAGGTAGCATATTTACGAGGAACATAAATCATCATAAAACAAACTACTTCTCTAGGTTATGACGATGATTTTTATTGCGCCTTAATGACTTAACACATAATTTTCGTCAGAAAGTTGTTCTCCTCCTAAAAGTCGTCATAAAACAGAATGACTTATTGACGAATTGACTCATCGTCACAAAAAAATTGTCATAGATCCCCATATTTCTTGTAGTGCCTAGAAAAAATAATCAGCAATAAGACATCAATTTAGTGCTTAGCAAATGTGGATAGCAGTGATGGAAGAAAATATGTCAACATTGGACAATGTCACTTCCCTTGCAATGCAATGATAGAACCGAGTGCCCTTTGCTATTTCTATCTGAAGTTGTCAAGTCAATGGATAAAATGGAAAAACAGTAATACCAATGTGGTGCAAAAATCTCGTGGTGTTATTCCACAATAGGAACACTGGGCTCATTCAGACCACATCTTAAACTAAGCTATTGTGTTTATAGACAGACCATAAGCAAAGTACCATACCACAGAAATGAAGTAGACACCTTTGTGTGTATAGACAGATGCTACTAAAAGTGCCATCATTAACTCCAGGTACTGAGCTATTTCAAACATGCATACTCACAGTATGAATTTCATATGGTCCACAATGGGCAAAGGGTACCATCTTTAGCAAATCATGGAGTTCTGAAGCGATTCCATCTTCCTACAAACACACCCTCTGTTTCATCGACAAGGAGGACTTCATCATCATCGAGGCAAAAGAACAACAGAGATGAATGTCTCGAGACTTGCTAAGGTAGGATGCTACTTTGACCATGGGCTGCCATCTCAATTGTAGGTATAAAAGATGGAACAGATTAATGATGCTACTTCCTTGCAATGCAATGATAGAACCGGCAGGAGCAGACTTTGTAGTCTGCAGATCGGCGGTGCGCCCTCTGAGTCCAAGCTAGAGACGGTTTGACCCCGCTAGTAGGTCGGGCGAAGCGTGTGCCTACGTCCGTGATGAATGGCACAAGCACGCAATAGCAGCAGGTGAGGCGGCGTGCTTGTAGATCGATGTGGATCTATGGAGGCGGCAGAGGCTGCAAAGGAGGGCCAACAGGAACCATAAATTGATTTGGAGGAGATGAGGGGATGAGAAATTTGAATGGGAGAGGAGAAAAATCATCATAGGGTTTGGGAGTTAGTATGGGTCTTTCAGTAAATTTTGGTGGGCCAAACTAGTTACGATCGCGCCCGCCGTTTGACCCATAGATTAATCGAAAAAATAATTTGGGGAAAAAATTGATAGAGAATAAATTGCTCAAACTTTTCATATGTATATATTGACAAAACGAACAAAATAAATTGATAGAGAATGATTTTAGAAAATTTTAGGAAAAAATCATCAGATTTGGAGTTAGTATGAGGAAGAAAAACTTTACAAAGTTAACCCATAGATTGAAATCACACTCACTATGACTAACATCTCAAATGTGATTCTCTTTTTAATATGTGGGTAAACTTTGTAACTAGTTGTTCTCCCTCATACTAACTCTAAATGTGATGGTTTTTTTTCCTAAAAATTTCTAAAATCATGCTTCAGCATTTAAGTTTGATCAAACTTGGATGTGACAAAGTTTTACACATTTTAAAATTTGAGATTTAAAATTTGACAAGTTCAAACTAAATTTTCAAACCCTAAATGATTTCATATGTAAAAGTGATGAATACAAAAGTTGTTCAACTCATCAAGATCTACAACTTTTATTTTGGTCATCTTGTCATTTGACAAAATTTAAATCTTTCAAATTTGAAATTAAAAAAAATGAGAAGTTCAAACCAAAATTTGAGACCCAAAATGATTTCAACATAAAAAGTGATGAATAACAAAGTTGTTAAACTCATTAATATCTACAACTTTTATTTTAGTCATCTTGTCATTTGATAAAATTTGAACCTTTCAAATTAGAAAATTTGAAAAACGACAAGTTCGAACCAAAATTTGAGACCCAAATTGATTTCAACATAAAAAGCGATAAATACCAAAGTTGTTCAACTCATGAATATCTACAACTTTTATTTTGGTCATTTCTTCATTTGACAAATTCTTAACACACAGTGTTCACTAATCTTACACATGTCTCATATAGTTTATAAAACCTTATGAGAGATCTGTCACATTTGTGAACAATGTCGTTACCACTTTGTCATATGAAGAAATGACCAATACAAAATTTGTAGATCTTGATGAGTTATTCAACTTTGGTATTTATCACTTTTTCAGCTAAAATCATTTGGAAAACCAAAATCTTGTCTGAAGTTGCATTTTTTTTAAATTCAAAATTAAAATTTGCTCAAACTTTTCATATGTATATATTGACAAAACCAACAAAATAAATTGATAGAGAATGATTTTAGAAAATTTTAGAAAAAAACATCATCAGATTTGGAGTTAGTATGATAAAGGAAAACTAGTTACAAAGTTGACCCACAGATTAAAAAAAGAAATCATACTGTTCGCTGTGATATCATCTAGAATAGTGTGATTTCTCTTTTTAATAAATGGGTAAACTTTGTAACTAGTTGTTCTCCCTCATATTAACTCCAAATATGATGGTTTTTTTCCTAAAAGTTTATAAAATCATGCTTCAGCATTTAAGTTTGATCAAACTTGGATGTGACAATATTTTACACATTTTAAAATTTAAAATTTGAAATTTGACAAGTTCAAACCAAATTTTCAAACCCTAAATGATTTCATATGTAAAAGTGATGAATACAAAAGTTGTTCAACTCATAAAGATCTACAACTTTTATTTTGATTATCTTATCATTTGACTAAATTTGAACCTTTTAAATTTTGAAATTTGAAAAAAGACAAGTGGACACTGCAGGGGCGGCTGGTGATGGAGCCGCCCCTCAGATCAACCCCAACTGTAGGGGCGGCTCAGGTTACCAACCGCCCCTACAGTGCCATCTGTAGGGGCGACTGGGCTGCTGGGGCCCGAGGACGCCCACTGTAGGGGCGCCCCAACCCCAACCGCCCCTACAGTAAAAATGCCCCCGATCTGGCGTAGTGGCTGCAATGCGCGTGAAAAGGGGAGAGGGCTCGAGCAGTCCCCGCGCGCGGTCTAGCGGTCTGGGCAGCGTGGGCCCCACGTGGGGCGCGAAATGCTGGCTCGGGTGGAGGCGTGCTGGCCCGAGCGCGGGAGACGGAGTGTAGTGCGGGCGTTTGTCCAAACGCCCGGACGCTGGTACTGCCGATAGCCCATTTCACGTTTTCCCCGCTTCGACCTCTCACCTAGTACGTGAATGCTTTGACGCGCGGTGAGCACTCTTAGGAATGTGTGGACTGAATGGGATACACGATATCACGACCACACTGAACTGAATTACTTTTGATGGATGAGACGAACCCTTCACCATTGTGCCTTATCCCCCCTCGGATGCGTTCGGCATGCAGTGCGATCTACTGTCCCAGTGGCCCAACGACCCATGGAAATGGGCACCGCACAGAACTCAGACTCGGACGCGCGCGCGCACATATCTGCTTGCCGATGGATCTGATCTGACCCTATCACCTTATTACTCATGAATCATGCATTCATCCACCCACAAAGAGCCAAGAAAAGCGTGGCAGAAGCCATATGCAGCCTCGCAGTCGCGTACGCAGGACTGTAGGTGAGCCGCGTCCTGCAACGGGCAACCATGACCCAGTGCATTGGCCTTTGGCTACAAGTTTTGAATCCGGCCATGGCCTGCCTGAACCCGGGGCCCCATTTCTGAGCGGCAGCACGCAGGCAGGCAGCAGCGTGCATTGCATGGTGTGCCTGTCCTGCTAGCTATCAATGGCTAGAATCCAGTGGGTGAATTCTGAATCCGGCCCGTGATTCCGTGAAGAAGCTACAGAACTCTACTGTAGCGCATGGGACGACTGCACCCGGCCGTGTCCTGTTCCTGCACAACGTAACCCTGATCAGTACTCCTCTCGAACGCGTTGAGGAAGCAGCTTGAGTTCCCGCTAATCAGCACGCACATTAAACATCAGCTAACCCTTGAGCTCATTGCCAGCGCTCTATATAAACCGTGCCTCTAGTTCCCATCTATTCCATCCCTTGGCTCCTGTGTCCACCAGCCGGAGTCAGTGAGTAACTGAGTACTGAGAATAGCCGTAGCGAAGCTCAGAGCAAGCGAGCGGGCGTGGTTCAGCTTCGGCAAGGGGATGGCGCTGTCTCGCCGCATGGCCGCCGCTCCCGTCCTCGTCCTTCTTCTCCTCCTCGTCGCCACAGGTGCGTGCCTGATTCAATTCCTCCGTGCGTGCCCAGGAGTGGTTGCTTGCATTGGCCCTTGGCCGTGCAAATTAACATTAACAGTAACGCGACGCGGTGTGATGGATGCTTTGTGGTTTGTGCGGTGCAGAGCTGGGGACGACGCCGGTGGCGGAGGCGAGGCACTGCCTGTCGCAGAGCCACCGGTTCAAAGGCCTGTGCGTGAGCAGCAGCAACTGCGCCAACGTCTGCCAGACCGAGAACTTCCCCGGCGGCGAGTGCAAGGCGGAGGGCGCCACGCGCAAGTGCTTCTGCAAGAAGATCTGCTAGCCTCCGTCTGCTGGCGGTGGCGGGACGGCAGGTCGTCGGCGTGCAATTCAAGCCGACCACTGTTGTTAGTTATTGGTTCTCCTGCGTTGCTGTTTTTGTTTACTACCGTTTCTCTGCTGGATGCCTGCGCTATTACGGTTGTAGCGCGTCGCTGTTTCCTGTTCTGTTCCCGCGAATAAACTCCGGGCCATGCATGTCCCGGCATATGTGATGCCTGCGCTGTTACGTTGTAGCGCGTCGCTGTTTCCTGTTGCTTTCTTTCTGTTCCCGCGAATAAACTCCGGGCCATGCATGCATGTCCCGGCATATGACGCCTGCGCGTACAGAATGACATCTATATCAATTATCACTGCAGTTAATCTGCATCCGTAGGTAGTCAAGACGATGCTGCTGCATGTCGCGTGTAAGCTCATGGTTTCAAAATGGATGTAATGCAACTGTTGGTTTTCTTCCAAATCTGCTCTAGTGCTAGCTAGGTATCTTGATGATCAACGGGTATTTGGATGGACTAAACTGAAGTTTACTCCATATTTTGGTTCTTCCCCGGCACCATGACTCACTCCAACGTGCAGAGCTTGTCCAGGGATTTTTTCGTCATGTCCTGAAAGCCCTCGAACTGCTTGGACAACTCCTCCAATGTCGCCATCACCTTCTCGTGTTTGGTCGGCTTCGGTGAAGGTGCCAGCACGAGCAAAACCCCGATTGAGCAAACAATTTTTTTATCTCTCGGAACTGAAGGATCCTGATTGCAATCACTACTGCACTCGCACTTCTCAAAGCCACGTCGTAACCCCTATCGCAGTCCGATTTTGGTCTCGGCAGTAAGCTATCGGCAGTGATAGTCATAGCTATCACCGTCGGCATCTGAGACCGACTGGGATATTCACTACATCGCCGTTTTGGCTTATCATCCGTCCGTGATAAGGTCCTTACTTCCATCGCATTGGAGCACGGTTCATCTGTGTGGGTATGCACTAACACCACCTCATGGCTTATGATCCGTCCGTGATCAGATCCTTATTCCGTCGCATTGAGGCCTGACCCGCCTGTGTGGGTATATATTAAACACCGTCGTATGGGCTTATGATCCGTCCGTGATCAGGTTCTTGTTTCCATTGCATTTGAGCACAACCCGTCTGTATCAAAGCAAACATCACCGTCACTTCAGTGTATGAACCACCTGGTTATAGGGCATCGTCACCGTCGTGTTGCAGTACGATCCGCCCATGATGATTCTTTAGTCGGTGTTGGGTTACTGAACGATTCGGCGGTGATACACTATTGACCCCTGCCGCATCAGACGAATAGTGGCGGTGATAGCCGTCTGCTTCACCAACGGCGAGTGGTATGGCGGTGATGATAAAACAACCAACGGCCCGTACATCCGACGATGATAGAATTGCTTCCGGTTTTCACAATGTATTTACTAATTCAGCTGGGCCTTAATAAACTGAACACACACTATACAATATAATCATTATACATCATTCATCAACGAAGAGTACTTGTTACAATAACAATGCTCGACACTAACATAACAATTGTGTCAACTGATGAATTTAACACAAGCGGTACATAGATAACATAATAAAGGTTTTGCTCCCTACAGACTTACGTAACTAAAATGAGGTAGATGTGCTCCACTCCTTCAGATTGACACTCCTTGATCAGCTTGGTAGCCAAAGCACGATGGAACCCCTCTTCTTCCTCCCATAGCCATTACAGGAAAATCGTTTAAAAGCACTGAGACTCCAAAACCTGCACAATGCAAAGCAGCAGAATTAATAATATTCAAGATACCATTGGTTTAGTTACCAAGCCAAAATTAAATTATATATAGACTCAAAACAACTCCCTACGTGAACAAAAACATGTCCTAACAACAAAATACAATATATGCATCTTTACTGCTCTGCTAATAACTCCATGAACAAGTGAACATAAAGAAGATAGTGAGATCCGTTGATTCATAGACTCTAAGTAGGTCTAGGATAGCAGATGATCTGTGTAGGGAGAACATGAACTTTTCTGTAGTTCATGTCATATGCAAGCTGTGTTATGTCCTCCGCTATAAGGAAAATCAAATTCCATTCGAGGTGAACCGCAATCACTCTGTACTCAGCATCACAAACCTCGTAACCAAATTAAATATTATTCTATCCAAATATCTCTAACATGGTCACCGTATGCTTAAATGTCCATCTATTACTACCATAGTCTTAAAGGATCCAGATTGAAAGCTGAGCCAAATTATAAATATCAGCATTACATAAACACAACTGACCCTGAGCTTCATGGATGAAGATTACATCATCATGTGGCTTCTGTATTTTTGTCCATGTATTTCCATCCATATCAACATCAACAATCTAGGAGAACTCGAGGCGGAGGTGAGGTACTGCCTGTCGCAGAGCCACCTGTTCAAAGCCTTGTGCATGAGTAGCAGCAACTATGCTAACGTGTGCCAGACCGAGAAGTTCCCCGGTGGTGAGTGCAAGGTGGAGGGCGCCACGCGCAAGTGCTTCTGCAAGAAGATATGCTAGCCTTTGGGCCTTGGCGGTACGGTGGCGGATAGGCAGGTCATCGGCATGTAATTCAAGCTAGCCAGCCACTGTTGTTAGTTATTGGTCCTCTCCTGCGTTGCTATTTTTGTTTACTACCATTTCTCTACTGGGCGCTGGCTGCGCTGTTACGTTGTAGCGCGTCGCTGTTTCTTGTTGCTTCCTTTCTGTTCCCGTGAATAAAACTCCGGGCCATGCATGTCCCGGGATATGATGATGCCTGCTTGTGCGGAATGACATCTATCTCAATTCTCACTGCAGTTAATCTGCATCCGTGGGTAGTCAAGACGATGCTGCTGCATGTCACATGTAAGCTCATGGTTTCAAAATGGATGTAATGCAACTGTCGTTGGTTCTTCCAAATCTGCTTTGGTGCTAGCTAGCTAGGGATCGCGATGATCAAGGGGTGTTTGGATGGACTAAACTGAAGTTTACTCCATATTTTGGTTCTTTCCCCGTGCCACGACTCCAACGTGCAGAACTTGTCCAGGGATTGCTTCATCATGTCCTGAAAGCCCTCGAACTGCCTGGACAACTCCAACGTAGTCATCACCTTCTCTTGTTTGGTCGGCTTCTGCGAAGGCGCCAGCACGAGCAAAACCCGGATTGAGCAAAATTTTTTTTTGGATCTCTCGGAACCAAAGGCTCCTAATTCCAATTTGTTATGAACCTAGATGACTGAGTGGAATTGAGACTGAAATAGCAAGAACTTTTTTTCCATGCGGGAACCACCCATTTCCATTACGATGAACGGAAATACAAAACCATTCAGAGAGATTACTGATAGTACTAGAACCAATGGTTTGATGATGCAGAAAACCACGCAGGGTATCTAAGCATCGAAACATGATCAAGGACCTAACAGAAACCATGACCTATTCAGCAAAAGGGAACCTCTAACCTAAGGGAGAAACTAAAATGGCTAATCCATGATCCCAGCTAGAACTGTCCACAGGGAGCAAAAGCATCCTTGCTTAGACTATACTGAACACTACCAGATAAGGCGTCAACTTCTCACATAGGATCATCTTCATGCTCTGAGCATTCACCGTCTTGGAGTAGCAGATGATTCACCTGTCTTGTAGTCATAGCAGCTATGACGTCCTTAGCCACCCGGAGCATTGTGTTTACCCCCTGCACCAGCTGTTCTTGGTCTAGTTCTGCATAAAGACCTGAACAATATGACATGAGTGCACAAGCGTGGCAGATAATCTCAAGAGGATTTTTTATTAGTTTCCTGTCAAAAACTGCTCTGTTTCTACATTTCCAAATTGCCCAACAAATGGCTGCAACCCCCCATGGGTGGTATTTCTTTCCAAAAGGCAACCATTTCTCACACCATAACCAACATTGTTGCAAGTTCATGGGAATGTTATGTGTGCCAAAGCATTTAGCTACAATACCCCAGATCACTTTGGCTACAGGACACTGGAAAAACAGATGTGAAATGATTTCCTCACGGTCACAAAAAAAACACAATTCGGGTCACCTTGCCACTTTCTTTTCTTTAAGTTATCTCTGGTTAAAATTGCATTGTTAGTCATTAGCCAAAGGAAAATTTGATTTTTTCAGGAATTTTACCTTTCCAAATTCTCTTATGACAGGCCCTAGATGAAGATTTAGTAAGAGCATTGTAAACCGACTTTACAGAGAACTTGCCACTTTTTCCTATCAACCAGATAACAGAATCATCATTAGTTGTTAATTGAAATTTCAAAGCATCCTGCCAAATAACATTCCATGCAATCCTAAGATCATCAAACAGCCATCTCCTAAAGGAGATCTGTGTACCCTTCAAGGCTTATGCAACAGAGATGTTCTTATTATCACACAGTTCAAACAGAATAGGAGCAATCACAGATAAAGGTTCCTTATACACCCATGGATCAAGCCAAAATTTAGTCATCATTCCATTACCAATAGAGACAATTATCCCCTGTAAGTAAATGTGTTTGATTTTCAAAACGTCAGACCACATTGGAGAGTCATTAAGTTTATGTCCAACCTCATGAATTGATTGATTCTTCAAATATTTAAATTTCACTATCTCCTGCCAGAGGCCTTCCTCCTTCTCTAGCTTCCACCACCATTTGCATAACAAACTAATATTCATTTTTCTCAAATCCTTAATCCCCAAACCTCCATATTTCTTACTTTTACAAATAGTTTCCCATTTAACAAGATGATATTTCTTTTTTGTCCCACCACGTTGCCAGAAAAAGGATCTTCTAATTTTATCCATATTCTTAATGATAGTCTTAGGAAGTAGGTAGGCAGACATGTGATACATAGGGGAATTGTTCAGACTAGCACTTATAAGAGTGGCTCTGCTAGCCATAGATAGGGTCCACCCTTTCCAGACATCTAACCTTTTATTCCCTTTCTCAACTAAAGGAAGTCAATCAATCACTTTTAACCTACTTGGATTAACAGGTACCC